AATAGGGAACTCAGAGGACCATGGCACAAATGATACAAAGATTTGGGGAACCAAAGACCTACATTGATGAAAGTTTTAGAGGATGGGGCCTGGAGAAAAGAAGACTTAGGTGAGGAGACACTGTGATTGACTGCCGCGATGTAAAGACACGCTACAAAGAGGATTGAGATCAGTTATTCTTATTGCTCCAGGATGACAGAACAAGCATTAATGGGATAAAGATGCAGCAGGAAATAAACTTAATAACTCAAAGAGCAGCTGAGGCTATGGAAAAAGCTGCCAGAAGAGGCGGAACTGCCAAAGCTGGAGACAGGTAAGGGTCAGACTTGTCACACATCCATCAGAGAAAATGTAGGGATTGTTATGTCGGGTATACCCTGATGCAGAGAGCAGGGATTCACTGATATTCTGGAAGTCGGTCCTAACCCAAATGCTTCTTTAGTTCTACGGCTGCCCTGTGGTAGGAGGAGTGGTTCACAGACTATTAGCACCGTGGCTCCCCCGGCTCAGCCCAGGTTGCGAACGTACTTACTGCACCGGGGCAATAAGTTGTTGTCTCTGTTTTAGGGACCCTCTTCAGGGAAATCTATGAGCATCACAACAGCATGACACTTTCCAAGTTGCCTTCCAAGAGGGTGACTCAGAGTCCCCCAAAAATGCCCGAAAAAAAGCCAATGCTTGAGTCTGCAACCAACACGTTCTAAGGGAACCATCTGGAGACGACTGCCCATCATCCCACAATTGCTACTAGGGACTGCACTTCCCCCAGTGGTTGGTGAATGGAAGATCACAAGACCTGGCATCTCAGGACCATCAAACAGCTTCTATGGAGTCACTTTGGGAGACAATGGCTTAGCGGCTGGAGGACTGCCATTTGTAGACAGTGTGTTATAGAACGGATAGCTATGGCCATCTCTACAAATCAATCAGAAATATACCCACCAAAAGGTTGCAGGACTAGATCCAGCTAAGTGGGACAGGATTGGGATAACTAAACACCGAAGCAACAGCTAAACAGGGGCCTGAAGGGGCAAAGAAGCATTTTCATATTGAGGTCCATTCCAGATATCCTTGCTCGTGGTGCACAGCACTTAGCTCGGTGAGCAGTCCCACTGATGGTGCTAACAAAGCAGGGACGAGATAGTTAGGGTTAGTAAGAGCTACAGAGTCAGGGCCGGCAGGTTCATCACCTAGAATTTTGTGGCAGCAACCGCAAGCCAAGAAACAACTGCAAATGCTTCTGAGATCAAGAAGCAGATTGGGGCAACTCTGGTAGAGAGAGAAACAGCAACCCAGCCCCCTGATCGATGAAAAATAGCCATGGAATACCCAGCACCGGGAACACTGTTCAAGGAGAGCGTCCGATGGAGACCTGGCAGCTAAAGCAAGGTATGTTAGGGTCTTGGTGGGACTAGTGGACACTCATTAAGAAGAAGAAAGGCTAGGACGGAAGCAGCCATGAAGAACCATGGCATGGTACAACTCATAGAATAAGTCATACCCAAAGACAGGCTGCGACCTCACCCTTCTACATCCTACGGCCAGGGAAATCTTACAAACAAGGCAACCTCCAAAGCATGCACACATGGCTCCCTTTCGGTTATGACTGTTTTAACTGTTAATTCCTCCATCCCTTTGATAGTCCAGCAAGAGCCATCCTGGAGATGGGCGTGGGGAGGGGGGTAGCGGTAAGGGGTGGTAGCCCTTTTTAATCCTAAACAGGGACTCGCATAATGGGGGAAACTTTTAACTATACTGGGCTTGGGGTGTGGCTTTCAAATGACAGTGCCTAGACTTCGGCATCTGAACAAGTAGCCCGATTCTAGGAAATTGGGACTGGATAGGAAGAGATTCTCCCCCAAGGCAGCAAGTTATCCCATAACTGCTTATTCCAGCGTTTCTTGTACATTTCTCTGGAGCAGTCGGGACTGTGCACTATGGGAAACAAGAAACTGGAATAAATAGACCATTTGGTCTGATCTGCTCTGGCTGTTCCTAAATTCTAGGCATCCCCGGATCCCACTGCAATGAACAGAAGCTGCAAGTGTTCCTCCACAAGCAAGCTGGGAAATAAGGAGCTGATCCGAGGACCAGTGTAATCAATGGGAGGCCTCACATGGGTGGACTTTGAAATCTCCTGTCAAAGTTTCCAGCACAAGGTAAGAACAGCCTTCCCTAAAGGAATCCCCCCAAATAATCATTTGTTTAATACAAGTAGTGTGGATGAGTAGATGAGTTTACTAGACATAGGAAAATGAAGCGGTGATTTAAATAATTGCTGCTTCATTTCCCTCAAAATGGCCACCGCACCGTGCCGATCAGCTGTTTGGTCGCACAGCGGGGCAGTCTGGATGCGTGAAATGAGGTTTACCGGAGCGGTCAACAAAGGCTTCCCTTGTTGACCGCTGCGCGTCCAGACTACCCCGCTGTGTCACCAAACAGCAGATTGGCACAGCGCAGCAGCTATTTGGATGTAAATGAAGCGGTGATTATTTAAATCGCCACTTCATTTTCTTATGTCTAGTAAACTCATCTACATGGCTCCGTCGACAGAGCCATGTAATCTAGACACACCCCAATGGACAACAAGGTCCAAAGCTTTCCACCTTCTCAACTCTTTCAATATTTCCCTGGCAAAGGAATCTGGCGGCTTCCGGTACCTCTGAACTTTGCCTTGCTCTCTCTTCTCTCCCTGCCAGTGGTCTGGTTTGATTCCAGCTAGTCTGAGAACAACGGGAGCTAAATTTCTCTTTCTCTGCCTCTTCATCGCTCTGATGCACCAGCGTTTTCATGAGCTAGCTGTCAGAGAGCGCTGGGATTTCCAAAAGCCAAGCAAATGGAGGCCCTGCTGTGTATTTTCATGCACCATCATCCCAGATGTGCTGTGCTACCCAGGGGACCTTTGTGTGTGGCAGGTGATGCCTGTGGCAGACAGGAAGATGTAAAAAGCAGGTACTGTACCTGCTGTTCCCTCTCTGCCTTTCTCCACCCACCACTACAGTCACTGCTAGTGTCCAGTGTGAGCCAAATTTTCATCCAAAGGCCTCAATATCAAAGGCCAATGTTGGACCCAAACCTAGCATCAATGATTTGAATGCCTAGCGTAATGGGACATAGATATTAAAAAGAGGCATGGTCAGATATTCCAGAATTTTGCCCCATTAACAACCTTTTTTGCAGGAGGCTTAGAGAGGGTAAAATGATAATCATGAACCTCAGAACCAAGTGGATAGTGGGAGTAGGTTTGGGGCCGACTGCACAAATTCTTCTTCCGGAGCTCAGACATTCTTTCTCATAGGCAAGATCACCAGCAAACAAAAACTTACACTGAAATCTGCTGATTTTGTAACTGTTGCAAGGAAAACAAGGCATATATACATCCCTTTTCTAAGACCCTTCTGATCTTTATCAGATCCTCTAAGTAAAAAAGAGCAGCTACCAGCATGGTGACATCTGACTGCCCTGTACATCCACATTTTTATATTCAATTTGAAAATGAACTCGATCACGTATCTTGTAAAGGAACAACGTCAAGTCGAACCGGACACTCTATCTGAATTTGTTTCACAAAAGAGCAAGGCTTACAACACTTTATATGAATGACATTTTTAAGCGACCAAATGCGTCATTTTTATTAATGACCAAGTTTTTGCCGGAGTTAAACATTCCTCCTCAGTGATAGGAAACTCAAATGCAACAATGTGATGCTAATTCACAAGAACTGGCACGTGACACTCACGAAAAACATGCAAGGGTCACACGCAGTGTAGTTTCACCATCCAAGCGGACGAACAGAGTAACACGGGCTCAATAATGAAAAGCAAATATGAAGGTTTTTAATCCTTGCAGTTTCAAAAAAATCTAAACCTTCTTCCTTTGGAGAGGTTGCTTTGTTTTGTTGTTCTTTCTATTGCAAATTTTGATTGGTTAGATTACTCAAATCTTGGGGATATTTTAGAACCAAACACATTCATCTTTGAAAAAAAAATCAAAATCAAAACATTTCACTTTTGACAATTACAATCAAAATGAAAAACAAAGCAAAACAAAACCAGTGATGCAAAGTAGCTGTCCACAGAAACATTCAAAAAGCAAAACCCTGAGCCACTTAAAAAAAAAGGCAGAACAAAAGCATCCCTAACTTCATGATTTTTTAAAATTTTCAACCAGCTGCAGTTAGTACCAACATCACAACATTTAACCTTATTTTATTTTTTTCACTTGACAGTGTCCCTTGATCAAAGGCATCTAAATCCAATTCAAACTGCTCCCTGCATCCTTAAGACTCTCTGTGCCAAGGAACACACTGTGAATCAGGCTCTGTCCTTTAAAGTGATGAGCACTCTTGCATGATCCAGAAAAACACTTGGTCTTGATTCAAAAAAGCTTCAGTACATGCTTAGTTTTAAGCTGTCTGTTGTACTGAAATCAATAGGACTGAAGCACATGCTTAAATGCTTTGCTAACCTGGGGCTCAAGCCTGGCAAACCCTGGCAAAGCCTATGCCCAGTGATAAAAAGGGGACCAGGTTACATGATTCCAATGATCCCATCTCTCCTTAGTTTGTGCATCTATGGCCTATGAAAGTCAACGGGACTGTTACCATCAGAAGCCCAACCCCAGGTGCTTATGCTGAATTTGGGGCTGTAAATATAAGCGCACTTTTAAGCACATGAATAGTCCCATTTATTTCAGTAGAACTAGTCACCTGCTTAACTTTAAGCACATACTGAAGTGTTTTGCTGGAGTGCTTATCACGCTGCTGGGCTGAGTCTAACCCAGGCTTTTAACTTTCGTATGTCTTGCTCCAGGTATATTTTAGGAAGCCTCACTTCTAACATGGCCCAAAGGGATGGGTGGGCAGGCAGGAGGGGGAGTGGGACATGGGGAGAGAAAACAAACGGGGAATAAAACGAAAGAGGGAAATCAAATAAAGAAGGCGAGAAAGAAAGAAAGAAAAGAAGTTGAAATTAGAGGAACTAACATGGCGTTACTGGTGGCTGTGGCCGAAACTTCCGCGGAAGAAACTACTCCACACTTGGAACATTTGAGCGTCATGCCGTAAAGAGGCACTGCCATCTGACTGCAATTAAAATCAAAAGACTGAAACAAAACAAAACACTTTGCTTGTGAACACAAACGAAGGAAGGAACAGAAAAGGAAAGGAAAAAAAGGGGGGGGGAACCAACCAACCAACCATACCGCACCCAGTTTGAGCAAAGAGAGCAAAAGCCAGGAAGGGATCAAACTCTCCTCTGTTTCATTTCAGAGGCAGGAAGCCAAGTCGAGAACTGTGCTGGTGCCACTGGATGGGATGGAACCGTGTTGGGAAAGGGTTCGTCAGACTCAGGACAACTTCCTGGTGCTTCCCTTGGCGCTAAATTTTTACAGCAGGTTTTTGTTTCCCTCCTACTCCTGCTTTGCACGTTTTGGATGCTGAGAATATTTTCTCTACCCATTTTCCCTTTTCTTGTGTTGGTTTTGCATCTGGGACCTGCTGTGGAGTGTTGCAGCTGAAAGGCAAGAAATAAGGCTGACGGGAGCAGCGCTGGGTTGGCTGATTTTGTTTGATGAAGCAGAATGAGGTATAGATTACCTGCTTTCCCCCCTGCCCTTCCAGCCAGTAGGCACAATACCTTCCTAGTAGAATGGGGGCAGGAAAAAAACAAATCACTAGTGACAAAGAGCTAGGTTTTAACTATATTCAGGGCCTAACAATGCCTGGCCGTAAGGCTGACGGGAGCAGCGCTGGGTTGGCTGATTTTGTTTGATGAAGCAGAATGAGGTATAGATTACCTGCTTTCCCCCCTGCCCTTCCAGCCAGTAGGCACAATACCTTCCTAGTAGAATGGGGGCAGGAAAAAAACAAATCACTAGTGACAAAGAGCTAGGTTTTAACTATATTCAGGGCCTAACAATGCCTGGCCGAATTTTCAAAAGCACGTCGGCGCGCCATTTTCCTGCCGAAATCAATG